GAAAACTGAGGCCCCGACCTAAAAAGGTTGTAGCGCCACTAATTTATTTATTTTTAGTTAAGCTTTTATTATAATACCAGGTAGCAACAAAGTTATTAATTTTTAAAAGAACTTCGACACATGTCTCCATCGTCTGTTTACAATTGTAAAAACCCGAAACCAAAAGAAGGTTGGTGAAATGGAATTTTTCCAATTACTAACTTCATAATTGGTTTCATTATCGAGGGTTGCAGGTTGCAGGCAACGGGATAACGAAAGTGGAAATTTTTCACACTTTTTCATTAATTAGGTTAGACTTTACTGAGTCTTCTACTTCTACGTCTGAAATTGAAACATAGACGACTAGAACAAATAAAGGACATGACAAAGTTTAAAAATGCTGTTACTTCTAGTAAAAGATTGAAATGGAAATGGACAGGACACATTATGAGAGAAGATAAAGAGAATTGGACGAAGAAAGTGACGGAATAGCTTTCTCGCTATACCAAAAGAAAACGAGGAAGACAGAAAAAAAGATGGGAAGATGATGTGCGAAGAGCAGCTGGCCCTATGTGGCTACGTAAAGCTAGAAACAGACAGAGACAGAGAAAAGTGGAAGCCCTTAGAGGAGGCCTAAGTGTCCAAGCTGTATAACAGAAATCAACCGGCTTGCCGATTAATTATTAGTATTTATTTTATATTTTTATGTACTAGTGTAAGTAATTACAGCAATAAAGGCTTTTATTATTAGTATATACTTAGTCTTAAGTTATTCTAGACCGTAATGTTCAATGACGTCTCAGTGCAGAGAAAATTAAAAGGAACATCGGAAATGTTTGTTAACTCATAGACAAATAGATCAGCTAACACACGCCGTCGACTTGCGTCTATGGCAGACGGGTTTCCTCACGATGCTTTCCTTCATCGTACCAGCGAATTAAATTCGTATGCGTGGGTAACACTCAAAATGTTTAGAACTGGCCAGTTAGAAACATTGCTAATGAAAACTTTTTTTTTTAGTTTCAATTTTAGAACTCTTTGGTAACCTAATGTAGTAGGTATATTGCATTCATTTGTCATTTGTTTTTGTGAATTGGCGGCAAATCTACCTCAGGGATGACAGCCGCACATAACATGGAATAATTTGCTATGTTACCCTATAGACATTGTTTGCTATTCCGGAATAAAAAAAAGGAAATTTTTAAATTTTTCTCTCCATAAAAACCTTACTTTATAATTTTTTAATATTCGAATTGGCCCAGCTATTTTCGAGTTCTGAGCTTAGGAACGCAATTTGCGATTCAGTTATTTAGATTTTTCTTTATATATAGTTATGTTTTCTTTTTATAGGCACCTCAATTTTCTTTTCTTAAATTTTATAGTACAAGGGGAAAACGGGCAAGAGGCTCATCTCAATGCCAGAGGGCTCGCGAGAGCGATGCCGGCCTCTTAAGAATTGATACGCTCTTTTCTTGTCGGTTCGGAAATACTTCAGTGGGCAGCTGGTTCCACATACCTAGAGGTAATGCGCGGCAAAAACTGCCTTTAAAAACGCTCCGTTGTGGAACGACGGACGTCGAGGTGATACGAAATCTCATTGATTTCTGTTATTAGATGATGATCAATATCATTATAAGTTGGTGCACAGAAGTCCATGTTATTATGAGACATTCGCTGAAGGGCAACACTGCTCTTAACAATAAACAAAAGAATACACAAGTCAAGACAGAATCAAGTTCTTCGCGGCTAATTTTGTATAAAAATAAATTGAACTTCGTTTATTTCAATGTAATGCGTTCATGTTTGAACCGTTTAATAGTAATTCCACCGTGATTAAAGCCAGATGCGATTATTTTGAACAAATATTGATGTTATATTTCCTGTGCGTTTAAACTTTTATTGGACATCACTATGCGGTTATATCAGTTGCTGTCTATAATTTTTAAATAAAATTCTCGGTTTGGTTGATTTGGTTATTTGAACCGTGAAATGTACTAATAATTTTTGTTATGTATTTATTTAAATTGCCAAGGCTCGGCACATTCATTGGTACATAAAACAATAAGATACAAGATAAATTGTGACAAGCACTTAAAGGCAAACATTACAAAAGGCGAAGGGAAAAAACAAATACATTCATTTATTTATTTTATTTATTTATTACAGAAATACATACATTATCCCTATAGACTGCCAATACGATAATATCGAGAAAAATAAAATAAAATATACTAAAGTATATAATATTAAACACATAATATACTCAATATCGCTACTGTGAACTCACTATGCAAACATATAAATATGTCGATAGTGTCGGAGACAGCATTCAGTAGGCGCAACGTCTTTGATAACGGGGATCTGCCTTGCGATTCTGTAACTCACTTTTCGAACTCACACAGCGGTTTTCGCATCGGCGGTCGCTCTCAAATCAGTCGTGAAGCAGTCATTTTATGATTTGGCATTCTGATAAACAATAAACTACAAGCTCCCACCTTTTCATATATTTATGATTATATAAGATATAATCATAAATTATAACTAAAGGGAAATTGATTTCAAAGTGTGAGGGGAGCAACAATAGATATCCAAACCTAGCTCATTGGATAGGATCGAGCTTATATTAATCATTAACAGTAGAGGTTGGTAAAAGGGTGAAAATTAGGGAAAAACAATAAAAAAAAATTACGACCTCCAAATGTTTAAAAAGTGAGTCTACTCCTCCCTCAAAGGACGGTAACGCACCCACTAAAATGGGTGTCTATGGGCTGCGTAGACTGCCCTTTTAGGTCGTCCCGCAATCTCGTTTGCCCCCCTATTATATAAAAAAATTGATTTTTTTTTTGGAACGGGCCAAAAATTTCATATCGGTCGTTTTGGAAGAGTTTTGTTTCAGACACGAAAATTATATATATTTGTATATTTGGTAGGAATCCAGAGTGTTTTTCAAATGTTTTGACATTTTAATTAACGGCCATATCAACCAGTGGTGAAACAAACCTTTATGGGTTTTGGCCTGACCGCCGTTCTATAGCGATAGCGATTCCAACTTTGTTGTTGAAGTTTTTTACCACGCCATTTTAAAGTTAGCTTTATTTTTATATGAACCGGAACCTCATTCATTTTTTTTAATGAGATTATTATTATAAGTTGGTACACAGTAGTCAATTATAAGAGACACACCCACTTAACTACTAGGTGAACACGCAATTAAAATATTATTAGTGTAATATAACTAAAGTTTAAATTTCCTAGACGTTTTAACTAGAACACGTTGAACGGAGTTTAACGATGACTTAACTTGAAAATGCAACGAGTTCACAATTAATAAGGACTTTGTGAACTATTGAATTATTTGTTTAATATATGCCTATTTACATTGTATAAATAGTTATCAAGTAACAAATACGATTACACGAAATTAACCACACTATATCTTCAATATAAAAGGTTCTGGGTTTAATAATAATCTACCTTAAAAAGTAAGAAATTTGACTTAGGGAGCGTTCAAGTATTACGTAACGAATTTGGGGGGGGGTCCTTTTGTAAAACGTTACGATGCGGGGCGGGGATTGAATTACGCGTCATTGTTCATATTATTTTCGACTTTCCAATACTTTACACTACATAATGGTAATTTTTAGGTATAAAGAGTCACTAGGTGGTCACGAAACGTTTTACTATACTTAATGGGTACAGAAAAACGGAACGGCGCGTTACATGGGGGGAGTCAATAACCTCCAAAAATTGCGTGACGTAATACTTGAACACTCCCTTCATAATTAAACCTATTTTTGAAATATAGACGTAATAATATGCTTTGGCATCAATTGAAACTATAATTTATTAAATTGCATATAACAATAAAACTTACAACTTACATCTGAAATAAATGGAAGCCAACAGTCTATATTAATAAATCAATAGTATATCTAACGGTATCTTTCTAAAAATACATGTGCAAAGCGCATGTGCAATATTTAATTCACTGTAATATTTCCTTTTCTCGTCCCAAAGGAATGGATGAAAGCCGCATTTGTCTAAATCTAACTGTAATATGCTGGAGTTGGAAACTCGTAAACTATTCACAGAGATAGTGCAATGCCATAAAATGCTAGGCATTCGAATTTAATCCATATATTTCTACATTTTTAAATATTGAATATTAGGGCTATATTTATGCTTGCTTATAGCTCTACTGTGACGAATTACTTTATATTTAGTGTTAAATTAATGTAAATAAAAAAACTTACTAATGAAGACACTACTCACATAAGCCAGCATATACTTTATAATTATCATATCTATCACATACGTAAAAATCAGCCATTTCCGTTTTACAAACACTGTGCCACGAGATAGATAATATGTATAGTATGCAATCCAATAACTTACTTGGTGTAATAAAATTAAAAATTAATCAGTGGCGCTACAACCTCCTTAGGTCTGGGCCTTAGATTACTGAATCTGTTTCATGATCAATTTTTCAATCACATACTATTACGTGCACATAGAAAGATAGTCCATTGGTGCACAGCCGAGGATCGAACCTACGATCTCAGGGATGAGAGTTGCACGCTGAAGCCACTAGGCCAACACTGCTCTTGGTGTAATACCAACAATAAATTAATAAACTAAAAATAAGTAATTATTAAATATAAAAAAGATAGAATATAATCCTATGAAATGAACTTCGTTATCAGATATAAACGCTAAATATATATATTTTTTCATTATTACTTTCTTTTTCTAACTTGTCGTAAAGACCCTTTAACTTATTTAACAAAAATATTCTTTCGTCTCTTTCTATAGAATTATATTTATTAATTTACACTTCGTTACCTTATATAAAAACATACATATAAAAAAGCAGGTTACATAAGTTATTAGGCAACGGGCGGACTTATCGCTAACAAGAAATATCTTCCAGGCAACCCTTCAGCTGCCTTAAATTTATGAAATATTCAAATTCGAATTAAGAACATCTGCTCATTTGTTTTTTTGTTCACAGATCATGCAAAATGGATGACTACAATGACAGCCTCATTTTCAACGACACAGAAAGCTATAAGCCGTACTCGCAGCGACCAGAGACCTATATAGTACCCATACTATTCGCGTTCATCTTCATAATCGGCGTTGTGGGCAATGGGACACTTGTTGCCGTGTTTGTACGGCACAAGGCTATGAGAAATGTTCCTAACACGTAAGTTATACAATTTCATGAACGGAACTTCTAGTGTAGGTTTAAAGGCAGGCAAGTACATTGCCGGCCTTTTAATAATTGGTATGCTCTTGAAGAACCCTAAGTCGAATTGGTTCGGAAATACTTTAGTAGCTGGATCTACACAGTAGTGGTGCTTGGTACGTAACAGTAAGTTTAGGTACGCGGCCTTTGATATAAGGATTTTTTTGGAGTAGTCTTAATGTTAGTGGCTAGGCTAATGTATGTGCACACGGAAAAATATCGTCAATCACATTGTTAAGATTTAATAGAAACTAGTAGTTTTATATGTGGAAAATAACTTCGACTTTATTTAGTTTGAAAAACAATACATCGGTTAGTAATGTTCACAAAGTAGAGAGTAGGGCAAAGACAAACGTGAAACAGACTTGACATAAAAGACAACTGAAGTCTGAGCAAAAGGCGCGAAATTTAAATATTACAACACACATACTAAACCAAAAATGGACGGTGTCATCTACGATGTGTGTGTATGGAATTACAATAAATTGGGTAGAAGTCATAGTTACTAGAACCAGGAAAAGACCCTTGGTATAATATCAGTTTATCACTGATAATATATATCTATAGTTTAGATCGCTTATACGAGTACTGGGGATAAATAAGGCGCAACTGCGTTTCTCTGTGAATACAAAAGAAACAACATTTAAAGCCTCTATTTTAGGTTTTATAAAATAAAATAATGTAATGAAAAAAATTAAAACATCTTACATCTATTATGTCAAGTGACAAATTAAACATCGTCGATCAGACGGCAAAGAAGAAAAATAAATTATAAAAGAGTTTGTATAGGAAAATATTAAATATCAGTTTATCACTGATACTATATATCTATAGTTTAGATCAAATAATTACATAGAACTTTCAATCAAAACACGCATTTTTGTGATTTCCTAAAACTATTCCACAAATTCATTTCCTTAATACTCGTAACATATAATTGTGTACCATTAATGAAATATTTTCGTGAATACCATTTTGGTTGCGTGCCGATAATAATAAAATCTAACATTATAAATTTGCATACGTCACTAGGCACCGAAGGCTGATGACCTATATGGCTGTTTGAAAAAACAAATGATCACGAAACAGCCCTGCGATTCTGTAACTCGCACAGCGGTTTTCGCAGCGGCGGTCGCGCTCAAATTAGTCGTGAAGCAGTCATTTTATGATTTGGCATTCTGATAAGGAGGGAGCTTGTACACTCGCAATAATTGGATCTCGGTTAAGAAAACTACGCCAATATTAAGAGGGATGACTGCGTTTTCATTGCGATCGGGTCGCAGATTCGTCGTGTTTTCGAATGAGTTATTCGCTATGAGGGGACAATTCTGCACTATCCCCTGTTTAGAAAACAGTATATATCTCTATATATATAAAATTCTCGTGTTGTTCGTTCCCATACTCCTCCGACACGGCTCGACCGATTCTTATAAATTTTTTTATGCATATTCAGTAAGTAAGTAGAAAATCGGCTACTATCTTTCAAACCCCTAAGTGATAAGGGATGTCTACCCCAAAAAAAAATTATATTTTAGACAAAAAAAAATTGTTTTTATTTTTTATATGATACAGCAACAAAATACATACAACCCTTAATTTTCACCTCTCTACGATCAACCCCTATTTTTTGTTTTTGTATTAAAAACATTTGGCTTGAACTCTGAGGTTTATATAGAGAAAAATTCACAGAAAAACCTAAAAAGTTTTATTCCGGAAAACCGAACAGTCTCTGAGCATAGACAAATATTCCATGTTGGTATGTACTAAAAAGGTAGGCTAAGTAAAATCACATTAAGGAGAAAAGAAGTTCGCGTAGGCAGCTAGTTCTAAGATAAAATATTTGTAATTTTGTAAAGAATAAACTCATACAGACAATACAATGTTAGGAACACTCAAGAAGTAAATCAAGAGGCTTGCTCAACAAAATAAATCACTTGGTAAACAAAATACGCCGAACAGTTTTATTATTGGTAGCATTCGTTTTGTTTACATTCACAGAGATGTAAACAAGCTATATATTTCAACAATGTATGATAAATCTTGTTTGGTTTAATACAATTTGAGATATCAAAATCACCATGGCATGAAAGTGAATGAAGCGGGAAAGGTATATCTGGTGGGGATCTGAAGTCTCTGCCTTCTACTTCGGGATAAAGGTGTTAGTGTGTATATGTTACCGGAAATGTATGTAATCCGTCATTATATACATATCCTCGGAATTGTATGTAATTCCTAAAATCCCACGGAAATGTGTATAATAAAAATTTATTAGACACATTGAATGGAAATACATTGTCTAAATAGCAATCGGAAATGTATTGAGATATCAATGAGATATCAAAAGTAAGCTTATTTTTCCTGTTAAAGACACCACAAGCACTACTATTTACTACGCATATGATAGCGAGTTATTCGACATATTACACGAGACACATGTTCATATTGGTCACGGCGAAAGAGATCGTATAATGAAAGAGGTTAGGTTAGGTAATTTTTATTATTAATTAAAGCATTATTTTTATACATTTCCTAATACGATATTGGAATTTTATACAATTCCTAGGAATTGTGCACATTTTCTAGGACATTATGTATTAAATAGTTTTCGAAACAATATTTTAACATTTCCTAAATAGCTTCGGAATTATATATATTTCCCAGGATTTGTATACAATTCCTAGATTTCATACATTTCCGGTAACATAGATATATTTCTTAAACCGATATACAGAATGCTATGAGGTTGCAGTCAGTTATTCTCTAATAAATTTATATAAATAAATTAGGTTTGGGCCTCAGAATTCTGTATCTGTTTCATGATCATTTGTCCATCTAATAGGCAAGTAGGTGATCAGCCTCCTGTGCCTGAAACACGCCGTGGACTTTTTGGACAAGTCCTTTGGTGCACATCCGGGGATTGAACCTACGACCTCAGGGATGAGAGTTGCACGCTGAAGCCACTCGGCCAACACTGCTCTAAAAAAATAATTTTGTGTTATAAAACGTTACCTCAAACATTTCAGGTACATACTGTCGCTGGCACTGGCTGATCTTCTGGTCATCATCACCTGCGTGCCCTTCACTTCTATCGTCTACACCCTGGAGTCCTGGCCCTGGGGTGATACTGTATGCCGCCTTTCTGAAGCTGCTAAAGATGTCAGTATTGGAGTGTCAGTGTTCACTCTGACTGCGTTGTCAGCTGATCGGTATTTTGCCATCGTGGATCCATTGAGGAAACTTCATGCTACTGGTAAGTTTAGTAATGTATCTATATACAATTCCTCTTAAACACCTGCCTTGCGATTTGTGTAACTCACTTTTATAAAAAATCACTTTTATTAAAATTTTCGTTTATTCAAGTGGGTTCGAATGTAGATTTACAATTGTTTTTTATTTATTGAAATAGTATGTACAGAACGTCTGCCGGTATATAACCATTTATATTTATTATATATCTGAAATAAAAAAGAAATCGGGTAATGATTCGATAATAGTAGCGAAGTTCAAATACAAATGGAAGAATTTGGAGGCTTTCACTCCATCGGGGGTTGTGTACTATTAAATATAATAACATAAACTTAATGTCATCCTTGTAGGCTTCTCGAATATAGACAATTTTATTATTTTAATTTATTTATATATATATCCGCGAACTATAGCTATCACGTCTCATCAAGTACTAGTAGTACTTTTATTAATTACTAGATGGCCCGGTGAACTTCATATCACCTACATATATTTGTGTCAAAGTCGGGCTTTCTTTAAAACACGTCCTGGAAAATTATAAAGTATGTTTAAAAGCATTCTTGGAAGCTTTTCCGTAAGTTTCGTGAAGTAATTTAATAAGTAGTATGAAGTGAAAGCTCAGGCAGAGGCAAAATTTGACAGTTTTAAAACATTCGTTTAATTTACAGTTTCTATGATAAAACATTGATGTTTTTAATTTTTTTTTTTTTTTTTTTTAAAGACAATTCACACCAATTGACCTAGTCCCATGCTAAACTGGTGAAGCTTGTGTTATGGGTACTAGGCAACGGATATACATACATATTATAGATAGATAAACATATAAATACATATTTAAACACCCAAGACCTAAGCACAACACCAAATGCTCATCACATCGATGGTCGTCTCAGCCGGGGATCGAACCCGGGACCCATGGATTTGCAGTCAGGGGTACTAACCACTAGACCAATGAGTCGTCATTATGCTTAAAGGCACTAAATATTATTTGACACTTTCTTATGTTATCCTTTTTAGTAAGTTAGGCTAGATCGTAATGTTTTATTGATCTCAGTGCAGAGACAATTTATTAAAACAAATTCTTTACTTACATTTTGACGGCCCTTAAAATATCAATTAGGATAACAAAATGTTTTTCAACGCTAACGCCTGATGACGTAAACCTGTTGCTTAGTTTCGTCTAAACCTGGGAAACATCAAAAACGAATCATGTCTTATTATCTTTATATATATAATTCTTCTGTGAGTGTGTATGTCACTGAACTTCTCTCAAACGACTGGACAGATTTTGATGAAATTTTTTGTGTGTGTTCAAGGGGATCTGGGAATGGTTTAGATTCACAAATCAGCGCGGCAGATGGCACTGCAGTCGGTACTTTCATACTTTGCTTAATATCCTAATCGCTTTAAATATCATGCAGGACAACGTCTGTGGGGTCCACTAGTAACTGTATATTATTTGGAATTTAATAACGTCAGTATGCAACAGGCCGATAAAAAATTTCAAGATTTTCATCATGATTCTACGAAAAGTAAATTTAATTTAATAAAAACAGTTTTTTTTACATTATACGAGGAAAATAATTAAAATTACTTTTTAAACGGCTACAAATTATACAGTGCAATTAAAATAAATTGATGTGTCGAGTTTCGGTTATCATTATCAAAACACTGGATCAATTTGAGAGATAAACGCTTATATTAAAATAAATATAGAAACACTCTTGCCTTTGACATTAACATTAAAAATTGAAACAAACTGTTCAGAACTCACTTGAACTTCAACTGCTGACATGGCGAATATAGTTATTCCAAAAGGTCGTAGGTTCGATCCCCAACTGTGCACCAATGGACATTCTTTATATTTGCGCATTTAAATTTCTCTCTGAATGAAGGAAAACATCGTGAGGAAACCGGCATGTCTTAAACCCAAAAAGTCGACAGCGTGTGTCAGGCACAGGAGGCTGATGACCTACTTGCCTATTAGATTTTAAAAAATGATCATGAAACAGATTCAGAAATCTGAGGCCCAGATCTAAAGAGGTTGTAGCGCCACTGTTTTTTTTTTTTTGTAAGTAGTATTTAAGATATTGTTTTCTACCAAATAAGATTTGAATATTGCACTGTCTTATTCATTTCTCGTTTCCTTTCAAAGTGGTAAAGACTCCTTCAAGCCCTTAATTATCGTGGTGAGTCTGCCCTCAGCTTTGTGATAATCCCACCACCTCGAAACTTTGATCATATCTGTAAGGGCTTAGGAATCCGTAGGGCTGTTATGTTCTTATGTATATTTAGTTATCTAGTGTAACTTGCTAATACACTACACATATTATACAGATACTGACATTTATCTTTATAGATGTATATAATTCTACTCTTCGCGTGTATGTCACTGAACTCCTCTTAAACGGCTACATATGAATAAAAATACACGTTTCCATGATTTAACAAAGTCGACGTACGAACTATAAAAAGATGAAGTTTTTTTAAACTAAGAACGTCTTAATTAAAATGCGTATAATAAATTCATTTTAAAAGCGTTTAATGCGAAAAATTGTAATGTAAATTTATATCGAATGGGTCCCATACATTTATCAGTACTAAACCGCCGTCGGCTTTGAGTGATAAATTGCATATTGTTTCCATCTCTTGACTCCTCTGGGGCAATTTTTACATATAATCTATAACACCAATTTTTAAAAGTTCATTCACCTTTGAGACAAGGTGAAGCAAAATGTTTTTTGCACCAATACTCGTAGTTTTAAACGCAAAATAATTAAGGAATCAATTTAATGCGTTCATCTTAAGGACCGATCTGCCCTGCGATTCTGTAACTCACTTTTCGAACTCACACAGCGGTTTTCGCATCGGCGGTCGCTCTCAAATCAGTCGTGAAGCAGTCATTTTATGATTTGGCATTCTGATAAACAATAAACTACAAGGTCCCACTTTTCCAATAAATTGTGGATCACGTCAGAAAAAAAAAACTACATCATAAACAGTCCATGCGTTTTAAAGCTGCGTTGCTACAGATATACTCGTACTATTTATGCGCCCGTTAACGCGCTTAGTACTGTATATTATATACTAATTATAAAGCTTTCAAAATGCCCTCATTTATCTCTACGAAAATCTATAAAATTCACTTTAAGTGATTAAGAGGAAAAGCGTGAAGGCTAAATCTCACTTCCGCGTAATTTTTCAAAGGATTTACATTCTAAATTCTTTAGTATATTTAAGTAATTATATATATATATTTTTTTTAATTTTAATTTTAAGTTGAGGTGATCATTAAATAATTTAATTTTTGTTTTATTAATATTACCTACTTTTAATTTTTTTTACATTTTACTTTAGTTGAGTTAGTGTTACATGTTATTTTATGTTCCTTTTTTGTCAGTTATTTATGCACTTCTTGTACTTAATCAACAGGTATTTCTTTTTTATTTTTCCATACTAGGGTCGTCTGGAAGATATCGCTTGTTAGCGATAAGGCCGCCCGTTACCTAATAACTTATGTAACCTGCTCCGTTTATATCTATGTTTTAGTATAGGGCAACGAAGTGTAAATAAATGACTATAATTTGCAGTATTTCTTACTTGTATTGATTGGCCTGTAACTGAGCGAAATACATGTATCCAGTGTTTATTTGTATACAAGGATATCTTTTGTTGTTTTCGTCATCCACATAAACTAAGACACCTTTAAGGCACTGTTAACATTATATTCTTATAAATCTAATATTACTGCACGTTATCATTATAATAATAATAAAAGCCTTTTAAAGTATGTTATTTAAAGCTGGCGGCTTCAACACATTTACACTTTGTACTTGTATAGTGTCTGTGAATAAGCGCGAGGCGTGATGTCAAACTGAAATACAATCACAAATACATCATGAAAAGACTGTCCGTCTCTCTCGCGCTCGGTCAAGCTTATGAGTATAAAAGAGACAGTTATTGTTTTGCTTTTGCTACTGTTTATGTTGATCTTTTTTCAAACATTACCAGGGCAATCTCGTGAAATGGTGCACAATGTTTTTAATTATTTTAAGTATCTTAATAAAAACAGTTTAATGAAAAAAATGTTATATTTCATTTGACATCAGATGCGACTGGGGTTTCTAAGAGGAGTATTGGTATGTTATCTAAAGCTGGCGGCTTCAACACATTTACACTTTGTGCTTGTGTAGTGTCTGTGAATAAGCGCGAGGCGTTATGTCAAACTGAATATGCATCATGAAAAGACTGTCCGTCTCTCTCGCGCTCGGTCAAGCTTATGAGTATAAAAGAGACAGTTATTGTTTTGCTTTTGCTACTGTTTATGTTGATCTTTACTGTACATGTTGATCTTTTTTCATACATTACCAGGGCAATCTCGTGAAATGGTGCACAATGTTTTTAATTATTTTAAACATCTTAATAAAAACAGTTTAATGAAAAAAATGTTATATTTCATTTGACATCAGATGCGACTGGGGTTTCTAAGAGGAGTATTGGTCTGTTATCTAAAGCTGGCACATAATATTTATATGTATTTGACACTTTTTTATTTATTTTACAACCCACCCAACCTTACTAAAATCAGAGTAGACTAAAATATATAGCTTGGCAAAAAAGTCTTATTTTTAAACATACTGTAAGTGAAATTGCATTAGTGTGAGTAGGTAGTGTGAACGCGCCAGCTTTCAATAACCGACCTATACAGCACTATTTCAATATTTATATTTTAATAAACTATCGTTATATAGGCAGGAGTTGAAACTTTAACTGAACGTATACTAAACAAATAACTGTCATAAGTTTCTAGATTGTGTATAAATTGCTCTATTTAACGAAGTATAACAGTTAATTTTAACGGTAATGTGCATGAGTTTACTAGTGTTTTCATGTGCTGCTCATTTGGTCAACCATAATTTTGACTAAATAAGCGCCAGTCGTGATATAGTTATATGAATATACTGAATGTATCCCTGGTTGGAAATATAAATAACATGTTATATATTTATTTTAAGCATGCGTTTATAACTTAAAGCTACGCT